AGAAAAAAAAAAAAAAACAGAAGAAGAAGAAAGAAACTAAAAAACAGATTTCACTTTACAGAAAACAACACAACGTTTTTGGGGTGGGGTGGGAGGAAGGAGAGCATCAGGAAGACTAGCTAATGGATTCTGTGCTTCATTCCTAGGTGATGGAATGATCTGTGCAGCAAACTGCCATGGCACACGTTTTCCTGTGTAACAGACCTGCACATCCTGCACATGTACTGCTGAACTTAAAAGTCAAAGAAGCAAAGAGAAGAAAGCAACATAACTCACAGTCGACAGAATCACTAAGCTCAGGGCTGAAGCTTTGTGACTGCATAAAAGAGCGGCAACAGTCAGTGACAGCCTTTCAAAGGTCCCTGCTGAGCTATCAGGGGTCCACCTTGGGAACTGAGGTCTCCCACCAATGGCCTTGTGAGTGCCCCATCATAGAGGCACATCTGCAAGCCCCAGTCAAACCACCAGATGAGACTGTAGCCTCATGGGAAACCCTGAGACAGACCGCCCAGCTAAGCTGCTTTTGAATGCTCACAGGAATTATTAGATAACAAATGTACTGCTATAAGCAACTAAGTGTGGGGGGTGATTTGTTACATAATAATAGATAACCAATACAGTATATATATATATATATATATATATATATATATATATATATATTTCTAGGAGAATATACGTAAGAAAATGGTAACTGTGGGTTGCCTCTGGAAATGAGGAATAATACAGTGAGGATAAGAGGCGAAGACAGGCTTGCTTTTCATACCGTACCACTCAGTTACATTTCACTCTACACTGGGGTAATTTTCGTGTATTACCTGAGAAAATAAAGAACACATAGTAAGATGTGCCCATATATGAAGATACTGTTCAGAGAGGGCTCAACGTCCTAAGGCACAGGAGGCAGGAAAAACAGCTGGAGCTTAAATAAGGTTTGATACAATGTAAAGAAATTTTTTTAAAAAATCACCATTAACAAAAAACTTCAAAAATTTTTAGAAGTGTGACACATTTTGCTGACCAAAATTTAATTCTGGTGTGTTGATTTCTGGAGCTAATTTTGATCCTCAAATGACATGCTATATATTCATATATTACCCTTAAAATAGTGCAGCACAAATGCTACCACTACTGTGTCATTTAATTCATGTTTGAGGAAAGTCACTCAGGCTGAACAATAACAAATATATCTGTCTTGCTTTATCTGGTGCCTCGTATACTCTCAGTAAAGTCAGATGGGTCTTCACAGTGTTAAGAAAAATGTTCTGCAGTCTGAAAATAAGGTCAAGAATATAATAAGAATAAATAAGGTGCACATGCATTTTCTTGCAATGTTCTAAGACGCCACATTTAAAAGTGTCCACCAGAGATTAATTTTCTGAGAGAGTGTATTGTTTTTTGACTTCATTATGTACTATTAATTGAGAGCTCACATTCTGTGAAGTTACATTAAGTCATTTGAAGCCTCGTGTCAGGGAGAGATGTAAATCATTTCTGTCCAGTAGAAAATATACTTCCAAAGCTTGAGGCCCATTGCCTTGTTGGATGTTAGTCAGTTCTGCAACTAACCTAGTGAATTTACTCTGATATCCTTTATCAAATTGCTGATTTAAACTGCAGTTGCTCAATGTGCTTTAAGCTGGTTTTAACATCTTAGTAGTTTCCTCATAAATTGATGGGTTGAATAATGTCTTTCATAATTGCTCTTTTATATTTGTAAAAGAATCCTTTTGAAAAAATATATTTTGAAAGATGAAATATGCACTGAAAAAATTCAGGGCCAGGCTTATGTCTGTGATCCCAGCACTTTGGAAGGCTGAGGAGCATGGATCACTTGGGCGTTGCCCCAGTGGAAAGGAGTTCAAAACCAGCCTGGGCAACAATGGTGAAACTCTCTCTCTGCAAAAATAAATAAATATTAGGGAACATGGTGGCCTGCACTTGGGAGACTGAAGTGGGAGGATTGTTCGATCCCAGGAAGTAGAGGTTGCAGTGAGCCGAGATTGCATCACTACACTCCAGCCTGGGTGACAGAGTAAGACCCTGTCTCAAAAAACAAACAAAATTCAGATGATACTCTTAATATGGTAAAAACAGCTTCAATACACATCCATTCTTGATTGACATAGTTATAACATTTAAGAAAATTATGCACTAAGAAAACAAATCAAAGAGATTATTGCCTGTCTCCCATTTCTGAATTGAATAAATAGGAGACATTGTTTCCCATATTATTGGACATTGCAGGCACTTCTGGTTTTCAGTATTTCAGGTATTTTACTTTTGAAGAGAAAGAGGGTTACCTTGCAAAAGGCGGCCTCCCCTATAGAGATGAAGAGCCAGGGCAGCCTCGCAGTTCTCAGCCAAGATGAGGTTTGCAATCTCAGATGGGCTTTCAAAGTCAAAGGCATCTCTCAGAAGGCACACGTGCCCTGCAGCCTCTAGATGGGCCCTTTACCAAAAAATAAAGAGAAAGGAGAGGAAGAGGGGAAAATGTTAATATGTAACAGGATGCTGCTACAATTAAGTTTTTTTTGTTTGTTTTTTTTGAGACAGAGTTTCACTCTTGTTGCCCAGGCTGGGGTGCATTGGTGTAGTCTTGGCTCACTACAACCTCCACCTCCTGGGTCAAAGCGATTCTCCTGCCTCAGCCTCCCGAGTAGCCAGGACTACGGGCACACATCACCACGCCTGGGTAATTTTTTGTATTTTTAGTAAAGATGGGATTTCACCTTGTTGGCCAGGCTGGTCTCAAACTCTTGACCTCAAGTGATCCACCTGCCTTGGCCTCCCAAAGTGCTGAGATTACAGAAATGAGACACAGTGCCCAGTTGCTATGATTAGGATTTTACATCAATTCCATAAGATTAATTGTTTACTGAATTGCCCTTTGTAAGCACCCTGCCTCAAAATACAAGAGAAGGCCCAGAGTCAATGACATTAACCATTCATCTGGCAGTCTCAGATACGCAGGACTGTGGCTAGGACTGAGGTCACTGGAAGGAAGGCCGGTTCTGGAGGCCTTGACAGCCTTCAGCCATGGGACACCTACTGCCCTTTCCAGTGGCATTTACCACACCAGACTGCTCCTTTTCTATTTCCTTAATTCCATGTTTTATCTCCTGTCCCTGAACTGTAGTATCTAAAGATTGTTTTCAAGCCTCTGTTGCTCAGTTCTCTGAAAAGACTTCAAAAGTCACCTATTAACATAGCTTCAAAAAATACTTCCTGTTCTTTCCATTCTACCTGCCACACACACACACACACACACACACACACACACACAGTATTTATGTCTTTCAAACATTTCTCTTTCTCTCCACCTTAGTTTAAGTTTCTGGTAACATAAATATAAAATACAAACCTCATAAACAAAAAAGAAATTTTTTCAAAAGTGACAACATAAAATCAGAAGACAAATGAGAAACTGGGGAAAAAACTATTTACAACTCTTACTAAAGGAAAAAAGTTCATCTGCTTAATATGTAAAGAGCATCCGTAAATCAATAAGAAAGAAGAAAAGCTAACAACACAATACGAAAATAGAGATGAAGGCTGGGTGAGATGGCTCACGCCTGTAATCCCAGCACTTTGAGAGGCTGAGGCAGGCAGACTGCTTGAGCCCAGGAGTTTGAGACCAGCCTGGACAATACAGTGAAACCCCATCTCTCAAAAAAAAAAAAAAATGAGTGGAGCATGGTGGCACATTCCTATAGTCCTAGCTACTTGGAAGGCTGAGATGAGATGGCTGCTTGAGCCTGAGAGGTTGAGGCTGCAGTGAGCCATGATTCTGCCCCTGTACTCCAGCCTGGTGATGGAGTGAGACCTGTCTCAAAAAAAAGGACCGGCCTCAGTAGCTCCAGCCTCTAATCCCAGCACTCCAGGAGGCCGAAGCAGGCAGATCCCTTGAGGTCAAAAATTCGAGACCAGCCTGGACAACATGGTGACACCCCATCTCTACTAAAAATACAAAAATTATCCGAGTGTCGTGGCGTGTACCTGTAATCCTAGCTAGTAGAGAGGCTGAGGCACAAGAATCACTTGAACCTGGGAGACAGAGGTTGCAGGAGCTAACATTTTGCCACTGCACTCCAGCCTGGGCAATAGAGTGGGGCTCCATCTCAAAAAAAAAAAAAAGAAAGAAAAGGGAAAAAAAAAAGAGAAAGAAGGGAGGGAGGGAGGGAGGGGGATAAAGAAAAATAGAGGTGGGCACAAAATTGCTGTCCATAGAAAAAGAAATACAACTGAGCTCCTGAACAAAGAAAATGATGCTCAACATCAGCCATCCTTTTAACCCAGAAAATCTGTAAAGATTAAAAAATTGACCTGGGGCTTCCTGAAATAACCACTCCTGTACATTATCTGTGAGAGAACAAATTGATACAACCTCTCTGGTGGGCAATGCAACTGCAGCTAGAAAATCTGAAATGCACAAGCCCTGTGACCAAATAACTCCACTTCTAGAAATTTATTCCAAAGATACACTTGGATACATGTGCAAAAGCACGCATCCAGGAATACACGCTGCAGCTGTGAAGCAGCAAAAAGACTAAAAAACGACCTCAACGTGCATCCAGGGCACTAGTTATATTATGGCAGGTGCACCTAGTCATGTTCTTTTGCCATCAGAAGAATGCAGTAGATCACTACGAAGTGTTAAGAGTGATTTTCAACATTCACTATTGAAAGTGAGCAAAGTGAAGATACTTTTGTGTATATACACTGTGTACGCATAGAATACCTCTAGAAGGATACAATAAAAAGAGATAACAATGACTGCGTCTAAAGAGGAGAATCAGGTGGCTCCGGCTTGTAACCACAGCACTTTGGGAGCAGAGGTGGGAGGATCACTTGAGCTCAGGAGTTCAAGACCAGTCTGGACAACATGATGAAACTCTGTGTCTACAAATAATTTAAAAAATTAGCCGGGCATGGTGGCATGCACCTGTGGTCCCAGCTATTTGGGAGGCTGAGGTGGGAGGACAGATGAGTCCAGGAATTCAAGGCTGCAGTGAGCCATGATCGCGCCACTGCCGCCTTGATCTCAACAGACCAAGACCCTTTCTCAAAATGAGAGAGAGAGAGACAGAAAAAGAGAAAGAAATAAAGAAAAAAGAGACACACAAGCTTTTGTATCGTCAGGTAGTTTTCATCACATGCATGTATTACCTTTGTAAATTGTTTGATATGTGTGTGTGTGCGTGTGTGTGCGTGCATGCGTGCATGCACGTGCATACACAACAATCAGCACCACATCTCTTTTCTGCTAAAACCTGCAAAGAGCTCCCCGTATGCAGTTCAACTGTCAACCACATGAGACTGGGGCCCATTTCTGTCCTGCTTAGGGAATAAATTTATGGCTGAACGTGTCTCTGGGACAAATGCCTCAGCCCAGGACACAACTCACCCTGCATGGCAGAAGCACACTCCACTCCAACCACCCTCCACGACAGAACCTGTGGCAGATCACGCTCCCTTCTCGAGTCTCCACGCCTCTGACAGGACAGGTCCTGCTGCCAGCTCCTTTACGAGAACTCTCCTGACAGCCCCAGTTCCCACCACACCACAGCCTCTCAAACCGCCCCCCCCTTTTTTTTTTGAGCCTGTCTCTGTCGCCCCTCTGCGCTGCATTTATATGGAAGATGGAGTCACATCTTAATTAGGGCATTGATGACAAAGTCAGGAAGTACATGAAAATCAAGTACACTTAAAATCACCCTTGACAATCTCTTAAACCATCCAGACGGTACCATAGAACGAAGTTCAAATCCAACCCAGCCTTTTTTTTTTTTCTTTTAACTCCAGCAAGGAAATAGTTACGTACTCAGCTGAACACCAGGTGAATTAACTGGTGTGCATTTAGGGGCAATATTGCACAAAATCCTGAGGACAACGAAGAAGAGGAGGACAACGATGAAGATGGTGGGGAGGAAATGGGGAGCTCTCAAGTCTTCAAACACCGTGATCACAAAATGACCAAGTTGCTGGTGCCATGGGAGCCACAAAGAAACATTAGGTTGGAATCTTCTGACTCACAGACTCACACTGACCCTGGGGCACACGGTGAGATCCTACATTGTACTAGCATGTGGATATTTTTGTCTTTCTTCTTTGGTTTCCTTTTCATAAAGTGTTGCAACATCACTGTGCAAATAAAGAACAACTACGGTCTTGAGACTTAAGCTGGTCTAACTGCTGAAGTGCACCCTGTGTCCCGAGCCTACCACTTTCACGCTAATTTGATCCTGTCGTTGTGGGTGAATAATGTCCCTTCTCTCCCCGCCAAAACTAGCATCCTTTGGAAACGCTGAAGGTAACTGACCAGCAGAACCAGGAAAGATGCCGGCAGCAGTTGATCTATTAGCTCACTTCAGTCTAAAACATGTAAAATACATCACACAAAAGTCAGGATTCAACATGCTTCTGACCATGTCTTGAGCCTATTATGGGTGAATAATTGCTATTTTGTGTTCTTCGTAAAGCTCTAAGAAATGAGAACTCAGAAATAAACATGGATAGAGGAAAAGGGGGCTGAATTCTACTTGGAGAGTCGGTTCCTGAGAGACTCATGCAGAGTCGACACAGCAGAGCGCGTGGAATGCAGGCGGATACATAGAGACAATCAGTGCTTCCTGATTTGTTAATTTTTTTTCTTTTCTTTCTCTGAGACAGAGTCTTGCTCTGTGGCCCAGGCTGGAGTGCAGTGGTGCGATTTCAGCTCACGGCGACATCTGCCTCCCAGTTCAAGTGATTCCCCTGCCTCAACCTCCTGAGTAGCTGGGACTATAGGCATGCACCACCAGGACTGGCTAATTTTTGCATTTTTAGTAGAGATGGAGTTTCACCATGCTGTCCAGGCTGGTCTCAAACTCCCAACCTCAGGTGATCCATCTGCCTCAGCCTCCCAAAATGCTGAGATTACAGGCGTGAGCTGCCGCGCCCGGTCTATTAAGCATATTTTTAACTGGCATTTTGATACTAACTTTGTAAATTCATAAATATTCTAACTATATTTTTTAATCTAAATTCTCCATGAACTAAATCATGCCCTTGTTTCTGGTTGACTTGAAACACCTTTAAATGAATCTATGCTTTCTCCTAGAAAGTAACAATTCAACTAATAAATTCACTGAGCACCTATTATGCCCAAATAATTCTGGTTTGACTTAAAAAGGCCTTCTTGAAAACAAAAGCATCTCCCATAAACGAAGGGACTTTGAGCATATACTTGGCAGGTTCACAAAGAGAAGAAGCCTCTGTGCGCCCCCGACTCAAGAGTCACAGACATTCTGTGGCATCCCCCAGCCGGCAGCCATCCTTTTTTACCTGAGTGTACAGTAGAGTTCGGTCATTTCTCTGTGTGTGTGTCTGTGTGTGTGTGTGTGTGTGTGTGTGGTTTGTCTGAGACAGAGTCTCAATAAAATTTGCTGGAGTGCAAATTTGTTTATTTTT